GACGCACGAATGCAAGAAGTGACAAAGCCTGATTGTCATATTAGTTCGTTTGTTCGCTGTGGCATTCAGAGTGATCTTTGGTTGGTACAGAAACTCTCTATCAAGCAGTTGGCTATTGGGTATTTGGCTGTCGTGTAAACTCGCGTGCAGTCCAGAAAAGTGGGTGGGTTGGTTCGAACTAGGAACCTTGGTCAGTTGTAACCGCTGTTGAGGCACTCAACATGCCCGCCTTCGCGGTCGGCGGGAGGGTTAGCTTCAGCCCAGGAGTGCACTGATCGATGTAAGGAGAAGGATGAGTGTAGCCATTCGATAAAGATGAGGGACCTACGACATCCTGATGACGATGGGCCAAGCGCGAATCGGGGTGGGGAAGATACCTTATGGAGATTTGTTTTAACGCTGCACTTTGTACCGCCCGTGGCTCAAAACTTAACGTGATCAAGCGTCGTCGTCATACTTCATATCAGACCCATCAAACCTCTCTGCGACGCACTTCTTTAATTTTTAGATGTTAGGGTAAGGGGAACTACACAAGGCTTGTGCGGAGCTCGATATGTCGAGGGAGGCAGGAAAGGGCGATAAAAACGAGCGAAGACGTCACAGAGCATGCTTTCAGTACCAGTAATTAGGAGATGTGCACGTTCTGGAGAAGGCAGATGAAATCTTAGCATGACAAATTACTCGTCAATACTCGGCCGCCATTTTAGTAAGCTCGGTCTTCTCTGAAAGCTGGAGTGCGGGCGGGAAGCCAGGGATCACACGCCGGTCATCGCAATTTACATATTATCAATATGGATGATTTCAGTGGTGAAATGCGAGATGTTGTCCAGGTGGAGAATCCTCCTCTGGTTTCCAATGTTAAAGTTAGATGAAAAAGCAAATGCCAGTGATTTGTTGCCTGTCAAAAAGTGAGAGCCGCGAAATCGCAAAGAAGATAACCAATCAGGTACGGCCAGTACACCAGTCAGTTTCTGGAAAGAATTGACAAGCGAACTTTTTAAGCCATAAGCGTATAACTCCCATTCGGCGGTTAAATTGGGCGACTGCCTTCAGTTCAGTTCAGTTTATTGAGGGAAATAGGCGTAAGCCTTTGAATACCCTATTTGCAACGTAAACAATGTGTGGTGTACAGATAGACGTTTTGGGCTGAAATAGTTCAAACACGCCCATAATGGTGGGACAAAATGAGTAGGAGTTACAGGGGATGAGCTCGACTTCTCATCGCTCTTGGTCATTTCGGAACATAAATATGTCCAGATTTTTCTTAAAACTTTGTATAGATGGTGACATGGCAACATCTGCGGAAAGCTCATTCCATGGTTTGACCACCCGAACCGAGAAAGAGAACTTCCGCACATCCAGCCGTGCCTGCTGATTGCGCAGTTTTAACGGGTGACCTCGGAGGTTGGTCGTGGTAGCAAATTCCGAGCAGCAGACAAAAAATCTGCCTTACGTGCAAGGCTCGAACCAATCACAATGATCGCCGTTCCGACAGTCTAAACTGCATCTACTGTAAAATAATGAAAACATACGAAAGCAACTATAAAGATCCTGCGGTTGAACAACATATTTCAGGGCTACAACATGACTTCGGACGGAGCCATTTTCGTCCCTCCGGTGCGTTAATCTCATGTGATCAATGGATATCTGGACTAGACATGGATATTAAGGTTGGTGTTATGTCAAATGACTTAAGGAAGAAGTTTGACGGCATTCACCACAAAAGTCTTATTTACAAACTACCCGAAATTGAATTAAATGACAATTTATTGATTTGGAGCTCAGATTTTCTTGCATGAACGTTGCTTATCGTGTGTGTTGGTGCATCACGATTAAATCCCACTCCCTTCTTTAAGTTATGTCCCCAGGCCTCAGTCCTTTGGCAATTACACTTCCTAAACAACTTCAGCATGTGTATTGGTACAATAAATTAGATTAAATTGTCTTGCTGAATACCCTGAATGGTATTTCCATAGCATGCAAAAGTAAATTTTTAAAAATATTTTAGAACACGTGAACAGATTCTGTACAGATTTTAGATCAGAGTCATTGAATTAGCAGCCGAACATTAAAAACAGTCAGCGAACAGCGAAAAAGACTCCTTATAAAAAGTCTAACCGAATATTAAATGGCCTGTTTTAGGGAGAAAAAACTGCCGCTCATGAAAAGGTAAATATGCGGGTCAAATAGGATTGGTCTGCATGTGGTATTGTATAAGGAATTCAAGACGGAAATCGTCAAGGCAGAATTCCTAAAACCGGATGGGACATTTCGGCTCGAAGAGGCTAGACAAGACGAACCAGATGCTATCGGTCACAACTCTCTTAGAATCCACTTGAATATGGACATTAAATGCTCGGCCAGTCACCAATACGTACAGGGAAGAATGCTCTCCTAAGACCTATTTGTTGACCGACCACTCTATAAACACATGGCGAAAGCTGTGGATTTCGCCGTGATCGTCAGCACATCACTCTGGGTCGAAATGAGGAGTTGACGTCAAGAACCGCGAAAATCATCGTTTGGGAGTGCGGGTTCGCAATCACAAGAGCGGGGTGGATTCCCGACTGGCGATTGGCGAAACGGAGGTGGCTTGAAGCCTGCACGTCAAAATTGCCACGCTACTACTTTGAGAGGGTTTGACAGGAAGGATGTCGCGATCTGTTAAGGACACGATGTACGGACTGAAAAATCGAACAAATCATAATTTTTGATAAATAAATAAATGAATACATTTTAATAAAGATCCGTCGGGGTACCATCAAAGCCGGCAAAAATTAATTTGTATATGGACTTTAGACTAGGTAGGCAGAATCTGAACAAAATGCATCTTAGAGTTTCTGAAGTTGTAGTCCGTTGAGCGAACAGTGTAAAAAATTCCATTTAAGAATTTGAAAGGGTTTGGATTAATTTTACAGGAGAAAAAAACCGTTGCTCATAATAAAACAAAAATGCAGACAGGAATGGTCTGAAGGTGACGGCGTAGAATGGATTACAATCAGACATAGTCAGGGCGGAAATAAATGCCAGCCTTGAGAGGTACGTATGTGGGTCGGAGAGGACTGGTCTGAATGTGGTATTGTATACGGGATTCAGAACGGACATCGTCAGGGTAGAATTTATGTACCGAAGGCGACTATTCGGTCATCGTGGCCAGATGAGAGGAATCCAGAGGCGTTCGGCCACAGTCCACTTGGAGCCCATCCGAGGAGTGAGGAAGGGAGGTACGACCAAACAACCAGCAGACGGCGAAATTCGAAGGGTTCGGCCTTGAGCGTCGACAGACAGCTTGAGGTCCAACTGAGGGAAATGACATCACGAACCCCGAAAATCATCACTATGAGGGAGGAGTGGTAGCAGTGTACTCAGCAACTAATTTAAAACAGGTGGTTGGAAAAGATATAAATGAAGGTTTTCATTTGATCTTTTACTGAATCCCACATCCTAGAAAGCGAAACCACGCACATAGGAAAGGATGTGAGCGGACGCAGTAAATTGGCAGTAGCGTCCTAAATTCCCGATGACTCTTTCTCAATATCGTAGAGAATGTTGTCTGGATAAATAACGATTAAGGAAGAATTGCGGAGATTGTATGGGCGAATAGCAGGCGAAAGGGCAGAAATCCGAGGAAGATCTGAAGTTCTGTATTGGCCACCAGTAACAGCTGTTCTTCAGCCCTTCTGCTCGGACCGGCTCCAACCTCATGATCAGAATTGGAGACTGATAATATCCGATACAGTGCTACCCCTCCCTTTCTTTACTATCGGTACTTCGTGGTTAGAGGTTTCTTTTTCTCCTGAACCCTCCGAAATATAAAAAACCACCATTAACTTTATTTTTATCTCCTTTTTGACAAGAGTTTTTTAACTGCTGGCCGGATTTGTATTTAGCGCATCCCTGACAAGGCCTGTAAACTGGCAGTAAATGCAATTATTATTGTTAATCAGATCAGATCAGATCAGATTTATTAAGGGAAAAGTAGGCGAACGCCTTTGAACTCCCTTTTGGTTACAATAACGTCATAAAAAACAATGTGTAAGGCAAGTGTGAAAAAAATCAGGTAAGTAATTACATACAACAAGCA